TGACTCCTCATCATAATTTTAATTTCAGCAAAGTGGGTCCAGCATTTAAATTTGCAGTGGAAAACCTGTTCTGTTTCTACACAAAGATTCACAAGCACTTGTGATGAACTCTTGTTCAAATTTTTGTAACAGTCATCTCTGAGTTGGTCAAATCTGTATGCATAATAGGAGAGCATCAATTTAAACAACAAAGATGTGAAGATATTAATTTTTTTATGGTAAGAGTATTTTCAAAGCAAACAGTCTTTTGACATGGTTGAATTGGTTTTGCTTGTGTTATTATAGTATTAGTGTACATTAATCCAAACAGGATTGAAAACATGAAGGTTTTGACCTTATCAACATTATATTTCCTCTCTTATTCTGTCTTTGGTAACATCAGTGTTGTATGTCTAATGTAATTTTTGTGACATTTCTATGACAAATTCTGAAAATTCAAAGCTAAGATTTGATTTGGAAAATAAAACACTAGAAATAAGTATTTCTTGAGAAATACTGATTTTGAGTTCTGACAAACTCACTGATGTTTTAGCTCAGGAATCAATTAATCTGTTTTTCTCAGAAGACTCAGCAAAATTCCAGTAATATTGTTTATATCTTATTGTTAGAAATGTATCTATAATTAAAATCTTTCAAGATAATTTTTTCTTCTTATGCCTTGATAGCTGGTCCTATAGAGCCATCATTAAGTCCTTTTTCAGGTCTGATGGTCTTTTATCCAAGCACGGCAAGAGGATTCAAGTGCTGGTACAACCTAAACCAAAAAATGCTACATTTTTTTTCTTTAATTGAGCACTTTCTATCCCCCTTTTTAAAATCCACTCTGGCCAGCTTTACAATGCTGTAGCAGATTTATATGATTACATTCCTGTGAATGGACTTACTTCCTAGAGCAGAGACAAATTGAATATATGCTTACCTGCTATGGGGCAGCTATACACTATGTTTTTAAATCAGTGTACATCCTCTTTCTTTTATGCAAAAATATTAGGAGGAAAAATACTATTAAGATAGTAATTGCTAGAAGCACTTGGTAGATTCTCCTTTTGGTTCCATGAAAGTGACCATAGTACATGGAGAAATCAGCTTCATCCTGTGCACGCTGTCTGCTTTTACATTTTTGGGAGCTATTTCTGCCTGAAGAATGTGTTCCTAGAGTACATTTTTAGAGGCCTTTATTCTACAAATCTGGGCACAGTTTTCTACACCAGACATTTTCAGAGAAAACCACAAAACAGATTTGATAAAACTAGTCCTGCAGAAATTCACTTGCATTTTTCGATCTACCCATTTTGATTAAAAATTAAAATGACAAAAAAAAACAAAAAACAAAGAAGATATGCTTTCTCACTTCAAATAAAAATTCTTTTTCCCCCATAACCTCAGAGTTTTAAGCCAAAAGTTCTAAGATAATCAAATACACAAATAATATTTTATGCCAGGTCAAATGAAGCATTAAATTGATCCAAGATCCTTTTTTTTACTTCTCAGTTAGTCAAATCTTCCTGGGTCAACTAAAATTATTTTATTAGTTTTCTTGCATTGACAGCAAACAAACAGAAGTGAACCAGAAATTCATATAACTTTAAGCTTTAGTTGGAAGTGAACTTAAAATATAGGGAGTTTGGTCAAAAGGGTGAATGACTTCCAGTTCCAGATAATATTCCTTCTTGGCTATCTTCCTCAAAAGATTTGATTTTGTCTTCACAGCCTTAGTTTTACTCCCCTTGTGTTTATTATTTGATAAAGTGCTAGCAAATGTACTTGTAGATCAGCAATACACTAAAGATTATTTTCTTGCTGTGTTAGTTGGATTCTTAAGCTGATTGTGATTTATTTTGATGCTGAAGTAGATTTTTATCCTATTGCCTGTCTGGTATATATCACTGCTACAACTCAAGTGCCAAAAGTTGTGCACACAGATGAGGCTAAAGCATGATTTTTCATTGTGGAGTTTTATCTGATGATCTCCTCCTGGTTACTCTTACTATTTCTGGACACAAATCTAACCAAATTAATTACTGATTCAACAATCCAACATTCACCGTGTGTAACATGCACTTAACTTATCTGCATGCCTTTCATGTTAAGCACAAAATTCAAATATTAAAGGTGTTTCCCTTGACAGGTTTCCTGATAAGGAGAAGCATTGGAACACAGTAGTACTTTTGTGGATGCCAGAATTGAACCTGGGTCCAACACAACACAGCAGGTCAGATTTTCCTCAGCTCTGGGAGCAGAGCTCAGGCATTTCTGCAGCCCAGATGAGTCCATTAACCTCTGCTGAAGCTCAGAAGCCCTCAGCTATTACTGCTTTCCTAAACAATGATTTGCTTTGAGCTATCACAAATTGCATGTTTCTGGGAGAGTATATGGGGTGCAGTGATTAGGAGATATGTTCTCTGCTCCCTTGTAAGGCACAGCTCGGGCAGGTAAATGGAATTGATTGATGGGAGAAGAATAATCTTCTCAGCTCCTCTGGCCTTTCTGAGAAGGAGGAAAAGGTTTGCTCAGCTCATCTACACTTCCTTAATCTCCCTGTGTAATTGTGAATAGCTGCAATATGTCAAAAGCCACAGGTGCCAGTGCACACAGCAGCTCAGGTATTAAGTTAAAGGATCATTACATTAGCTTTTTAGCCAATTAACATGGCTGTAGGAGAGACCATCTGGAATAAATCTGCAAAACAAACAGTTCACAGAAACCCAGCAGGCAGCTCTATGGATTGCTATATTTGTATAGTACTTCATTAGAAAATAAACATATATCTTCTATTTCAAGAACAAAGCACAAAGAGTATTAAACCAGATCAGATAGGTAATACAGCTGTCTTACTAAATTACACATTTGGAAGTGCTGTGTGAATCAGTGCAAGGAAAAGGTTGTGAAAACTCTAGTGACTGCAGTTAGGTGTTGGCACAGCTGAAACAACTGCTCCTGAGTTAATATAGACATGTATTTTCCTCTTGGTTTGCGGTTGCAAAAGTTTGTTTTGATAACATTCATGTTAATAACATGTTAATATCAGCTACTGATTCAGTATGTAGAGAAGGAACAAACCATGTTTCAGCAAACTGCAATAAAGCAGTCAGCTTTAAGCCTGCTTCTGGAACTTCATACTTTGCTGTGTTTATATTTTTCTCCCTTAGAGACCCACAGCAGGAGATGCAAAATTTGTTGGCACTAGGTTTATTCCTGCCAAGATTTGCTGAACACAGTAGGCTTTATTATAGAAATGCTGGATGAGGCTAGTATTGATGCTTCAAGGATCAACCATCCACCCTCCTCCTTCTTATGGCCTATTCCATGTTCAGAGGATGCCATGGGGTGTACAGTCAGACCAGTAAAGGTGGACAAAGCTCATCTTTGAAGCCACAGCAGCAAAAAGCACCGAAGTTTCCCCTAGCAGACACTGAGCAGCTCTGCTCAGCTGATGAGCACCTCTGCAAGGACTGGTGTGCCAGCAACCAGAGCTCACCACACCTCTGCCCAGGCTGGGAGCAAGGCCAGCCCTTCACAGAGCTCCTGCACATTGTGGCTCCTGTGAGACCCGTGGCACAGCACAGGGAACCAGCCAGCAGAATAATCAGCAGTGATAAGTGTACCAACACAATCAACAAATATGTGGCTCATGGGAAATGCACATTTTATGTCAGAACAAATGGTATTTCTGTGACCAATTTGCATAAGTATACAGGAAAACAGATTACTTGTCACAAAAGCCTCTTCTATTATAAATAGGGTATTTCCAGACTAATCAGATTTTCCTGTTTTCTGTACCAAAAAATCTTAGCAATTAGTGTATACCAGGTACAATAATATAACTAGGTGCAAAACATTCAAACAGACTTCCATTTAGCAGGTGTTGCTCAGATTTGTAAATAATAGGTCTAGGTATGAGTGTAGGTTTAAATTTTTAGCTGGTTTAATGCCACCTGATCATTTCTCCAGAGAAAGAAAAAGCACTAATATGGCTAGGAAGAAAAACACAACATTTAGCATGGCTCTCCATAATTAGCCCTGCTAAGAAATCATCCAATGGAGCAAAACACCACATACCTGCCCACTCTGGACATTTAGTTCAGGTATTTTGATGCAGTGGCCCATTGTGCTGTAAAGACATAGCACGCAACATAATTATGTTTATCAGCCTGCTCATGCCATAACTAATTAGGGAGTTGCTCTGAAGACCAGAGCTTTTGGATATACACAGTGATGACAATTAAAATGTTGGCATTTGTCAACAGTAACTTCACCTCAGGCGCTACCTAACAAGCCACAGGCTGCTGAATGCATAGAACTGAAATAACCATGGTAACTCTGGGTATATGGTGACGTTTTAATATCCACTACTGCCTATCCTCAGGCCATCACTTGCAGAACTAAATGGCCCATCAAAAAGCAGATGAATAAAGGGTCGTCTGTACAATGCATGAAAAACATTGAGCACTTTTAGGGATTAAAGCCTTTTTCATTTACCTCAGAAGGGGAAAAGGAGAGATAAACATAATACAAAAGCATGTATTATGAAGAAATAATGAAACTACCACATCCTACTGCAGCAACTGCTACTAAAATGTCAGGATCTACCAATTGCTAGCCCAAATCCGTATCTAAGATACCAAAATTAATTCCTATTTTAAGTACCTCTTACTACATACTGACTTTATAAATGACATCAGCAATATCAAAGGTCTTTCATGCTCAGTCACTGACAAACTGCAGTAGAAAATCTATCTGTTATAAACCACAGCAGTTCTCAAGAAAAGAAGGGATGCACTACCACAATTTATTAGCTCTGTCTTACCATCTGACCTGTTTTTAAATGAAAATATGGGGGAATCATCTATTTTATAATTTTTCATAATTCTGAGGAAAAGTCTGATTTTTTTTTAATGCTCAGTTATTGTATTATATTAGTTCCTCCATGGTAAGGGAGAGGATTTGAATGTATACTAAAGTATCTGTAAAACTATCTTGTATTTAGAATTTGCACTTACCAAAATGAAGAGACAACCAGAGGCAAGTTTTGTGTGTTCAGGAATAGTAGAAAACACGGACAAAATCAAGCAACCAAACACAAGGAGAAAACTGAAAAAGAAAGAATATTAATAATTGTTAATATTTTACAGTACCCTGACCCAGTATTTATATTGATCATACTTCACCAACATTAATAGAAGACTGTCTCTGTACAGTCTTCATTAGTAGAGGGGAATACAGCTACCACTTAACTTAGTTCATTAAAGACATTAAAATAATATCCTGTTATTAAATCTAGATTTTCCTAAGCAGCACTGATAGAATTCAGAGAAGCAAGATTTTCTTAGGAAAATGACCCAATATCCACAGATGTTATTTTTTGTATAACAGTCCTGTACCTTTATGCAGCACGGAGAATTTAAGCATCTTTAAAGAGAGATCTCCAGTGGGAGGGTTGTTTCCCAGGTCTGAAAAATCATTTCTCCCTCAATTGACCACAAACCCCTGCTGCATAATCTTACCAAAGAGCTAAGTTACATGTTGCACCTATCTGTCTATCCAAGACAACCTCCTTCTGAGCAACAGAGTTTGTGTACAAACTACCTGAAGTGAGAGGTAGGCCCATTCGTTGTCCTCAATGAACAGGCTCCATTCTGGGAACAAACTAAGTATCATACAATCCACTGAAGAACTTAAAACAATTACACAAGCCACAAGCCAAGCAGTTACAATCAAGAAGATGAGCACAATTTTGAGTTTGCAGGAGCCTGTATGTTTCATGACACTGACGAATACTCTCGGGCAAAAAAAAAGCTAAATCTTTTTATGAGGAAGATCCAAACAAATGGTATGACTGCAGAAATTCTTGCATATCCCATGTCCAATGCTTAGCACTCACAGCACATATGTTTGCAGACATGAGCCAGCAGAATTGGTATTGGTCTGACACATATATTATTGGTGGTAAGGATTATCCTTTCCTCTTGTACTGCTTCACCAACAGTATCACTATGCTAGTGAAACCATCTATGAACTGGATCAGAAATGAGATTCATTTTACCCACAGTATCATGAACTGACTAATCAGCACCCAGTAATAATTGATGCTACCAGTGTTTTGCTTAATTCCTTCTTAAAACACTTATCAGTCATGCTGCACATTGAGGCAACCAACATAGAGCAGGTCTTTGACTTTTGTCTGAATTGCTGGGACTCATTAGCTGGTGTTCTAACCCAATATTGTAATTAATGTAGATACATATCCCTCCCTGCCCTTATCTTGACCCATGAGCCTTTCCTTACACTTTCTCTCCTCCATCCAGCTGAGGAAGGGGAATGATAGGGAGGCTTTGGTGGGCACCCAGTGTCCTGCCAGGGCCAATGCACCACACTGTGAAACCTCTGCTCCCAAAGATTGCAGAACTTAGCTGAAAAAAGCCATAGGCTGACCTTGTGAGTGAGCTCTGCTTTGAGCAGGAAGTTGGACTGGAAGACTCACAGAGGCTTTTTTTCAACCTACATGCTTCTGTGTTTCTAACTACTGGATATAACATTAATATATTATTGCATCTGCATACAGGTGAGCTTCAGGAGCTATGATTACTTTATCCCACAGGACATATAGACTTTCCATATTGATGTAATAGAGGAGTGCTATAATATATCCAACACATTACATAAAAATATAAGTCTAGTCTTCAGAATTTCTATTAGAAATTTTCTATGTGCAATGCCATAAGACTTTGGAGGCACATTTTATATAATATCATTTAACTGCTGGGGAGAAGTTCTACTCTGAAAATCAAATATAGTAGGAGTTTGCATATAAATTCTATTAAGGACTGTAAATAAAATAGTATCCAGGAGGGTAAAGTGCACATTTGGCATACACCATTGGCAAGTCTTATCTTCTACACAAGAGAAAGGTGAAGATCAACACATACTTCAAGATTTAACAAAAACCTCATTCAAAACTCATGCAATCATGCACAAGTACAGGCTGGGCAGACAATGGATCAAAAGCAGCCCTGGGGAGAAAGACTTGGAGATGTTTCTGGACAAAAATTTCAACATGATTTGGCAATGCATGCTCACAGCCCTGAAAGTCAACCACCTCCTGGGCTGCATCAAAAGAAGAGTGGCCAGAGGATGAGGAAGGTGATTCCCCCTCTCTGCTCCTGTGAAACTACACACTGCATCCCACTCTGGGGCCCTCAGAACAAGAAAGACATTGACCTGTTGGGACATCTGCCAGAGGAAGGCCACTAAACTGATCACAGTACTGGACCAGTTCACCTATGAAGACAGGCTGAGAGAATCAAAATTCCCTTGATCCAATCCCCTCAGAAGTGAAGGCTCTAGGAAGCCTGCCTTAGATCAACCTTCCAAACGGGGCCTACAGGAAAGCTGGGCAGGGACTTCTCACAAGGGCATGTAGTGATTGGACAAGATGCAAGTCCTCAAGCTGAAGGATGCGAGATTAGGTTAGATATTAAGAAGAAATTCTTTACTGTAAGGGTGCACTGGAACAGGGTTACCCAGAGAACTTGTGCATGCCCCATTCCTGGAGGTGTTCAAGGCCAGGTTGTATGGGGCTCTGAGCAACCTGGTCTAGTGGAAGGTTCTCTGCCCATGACATGGGGGTTGGAACTGGATGATCTTAACATCCCTTCCAAATCCAAACCATTCTGTGATTCTATTTTTCTATGATTCTCTAATTCTATGATAAGTGACAAAAATCCATCTTGTGAGCAATTTTTCTTCCCTTCACTTCACTTAATAAAAATGGAAAATCTCATAGAACATTACTGGTAGTTTCAGCTGTTACAGCCTTCAGATACAACTCCCCTATAATTACATCCTACTGACACAGGCATAAATGTGGTTTCTTCTCATTAAGGCTTGCATGGAGGGCAAAATAAAATTAAGTGACTAAGAATTTACAGTAAAAGAATGTAATTTCCTTTTGCCAAATTTCTTTAGACCTGAATCAATTAAAATGACATTTGCTTACTTCCTTTGTGTTTAGGTATTAAAAATTTCTCGTTTGATTTTATTCCTGTAATGCCAACTAAATTGGAAGCCCAGTTGTACTGGGTCTTATCCAAACACACAATACCAGTTTTCACTTGGAAGAGATTTCTTATAGCACAATTATGGAAAACAGACGCAGCAGGAAAAAATAAAGTTTCTTGTTCCATATCACAGTTGGAGACCATGGCACAGTAAAGGTAAGGGACTTGCCTAAGGCTACACAGAGTCTTTACATGTGGAATAAACCTGAACCTTTTAAGTCACAGCCCGATCATACACAAAACCATTTACCCACCACTTGCTTTCCATAGTCTGTCAGGACTATGATTTAGAATATCACTGTGGGCAAGGTGTTTATTCACAAAAGATGGGAAAAGTGAGTCAGGAGAGGGAATGAGTACAGTTAAGCAGTGTATTAATCAAAATAAAAGCAAATATTCAGGAAAGCCAGGTGCAGTGTGGATTAGCACCTGGTTGACATAGTTCTGCAGTTTATCCATGAAAAGCAGAAACAATCCTCACAGCAGTACATAAAAATAGTCTTGGAAAGAAATTTTTCCAAACTTCTATAACTCTTGCTCTCAATTTTTCCAAAAACTCAAAAGGGCATGGAGCATCATTATTAATTATTATTATTAAAGAACAAAAGAAAAATGTTTGCATTTATCAACCCACATATTCAAATATTGCCCCTCAGTCCCTCATTCCTCCCTCCAACACTGAACACTTCTTTTAGTTCTACTCAGCATATTATCTCTAAAATTAAACTGTAAGCACTTTCTTGGAGGGGAGAAATCCAGTCCTACTAGACTGGCAAAACAAAAAGCATATATTTGGTGCCGTAAAACACAACACTAGAAACAAAAGTGGAATATTTTCAATACTATTTTCAATAGTTTATATATCACTGAAGTGCTCTTCCTTCAAAATAAACTAATAATGAGGATTCACTTGCTATCTTTTTAGTGCAATCTGTTTACTCAGGCCATGCAACGAAAGCACCTCTCCTTTTTCCCAGCTGGAACTGAAGTCATGAAGGCTGCAGCAACAACTTACACCTGATTGAATGTTAAATGAAGATCAGCCCAGAAAAAAAAAATCCCTAAGGTTCAAACATCACAGTGGTCAAAGTTTACCAAAAATTGTTCTTTCCTATTGTGAATTATTTCTCCAGTGACTGATGAAGTGTAGATGATTGCATTAAGCTCTGGGTAGTAATTTGATAACCCTCAATAGAAGAAAAAGTATTTTCCCATGCCATCATTTGAACTGTGTGCTACAATACATGCTGTACAAAACCATGCTGCTGTAGGTAGAGAGTAGTAAAAAGCAAAACACAGAGCAAATATATCTGGCCGCTAGTGATTCAATCTGGATCATATGATTGTTCAGGCTGAAAAAAACAGATGGTTTTTCCTCATGCATTCAGTATCAGACAGTAAAACATACGCCTTAGGCAGCAACTTCCCATAAAATTATTCAAGTACTGCCATAGCCTTGTATTTTATGAAAAGCAGCAACATCCATTTTGTTTCAGCAGTAATCAGTTTTGTTGCAGATCCTTTCATCTTATTCCCCTGATCCTGAAAGCATATACTAATTGGAGAAAGTCAGTTTATGAAAGATAATATAAGTCAGAAGCTTTGATATTTAATCAATCTGCCTCTCATAAACTTTTCTAATTGGTTAATTAGGAACTACCAATTCTCCATTTATATAATTTTCAGCAGAATTTTACTACTGTTTGATTCAAGGTCTGTTCGTATGGAGAAGGATGTTCAGCTTAAAGCAATTGTTAAAACATTACTCAAGGAGTATCACAAGGAGGAAAAATACACCCTAGGAAGATCTTTAAGAGCTATTTTGCTACATAACTTACTGCTAGAGTTAAAATAATGAAAAGTTAAACATCTGCAAACTTTTGTGGACTCTTCTGTAAATAATAAAAATATATAACTGTTAAAGTGGCATAATTAAGCAATTAGACCACCAGAGTTATTTTCCAGTATTATCTGAGGTCTGATTTAATCCTCATACAGGTAAAGGCATTCAGGAGTATGACCAAAACTGGTTGC